GGCCATCCAGTTAGGGACGGCAAAGTGCAGGACTCCCCTTTTGCCTTTGCTAGTTTTAAAGGAGCATGAGTTTTTTGTTTTCTTTGGAGGGAGGCAGGCTAAAAAAAGGAGAAGAAGAAAACAAATGCAAAATGAGGCAACTTGGGAATGTTGTTCAAAAGTTAGGTCCTGGGCCTTTGGCCACTTTTGCATTTATATTATCACAACTTTTGCGCCAGAGCTGGAACTGGAGCTGGAGCGCTTTCTCATATTTTCCTCATACATATCTCTCGGCCCAAGCATCCATTTGCGACCGTAAACATGTAACGCTGTTGTTGTTGTTGTTGCCGTGTTGTTTCCATGTTGTTGTTGTGTTGTCATCAGCGTCGTAATCATGTTCATCATTGTGAGAACATGAAAAACTTACGCTTGAAACATGTCGCGAATATGTATGCCTCCTGCTCGCATTTTGCATCGCATGTTGTCAGCTAGGACGGCGATGCGATATGAAGAGAGTAGACAACTTTTCGAGATTTAAATGTCAACTTAAACGAATTTTCGGGACAGTGTTCTCACTTATTTAATGGTGACAAAAATTTGAATGAAAGCTAAAAAGGGGGATTAATACACTGGTACAGAGGTCTTGAACGGACGACAAAACACTCAAAACAGTCAAGGAGAAGAAAAAATAAAAAAATAAAATGCCAATAAAAACTATCAACGTCGAAAGGACATTTGCAGTGTTTCCTAGCTGAGCATGGGCATATTGATGTAGTCCTGCAGCCGCCACATCCGCTTCGGGCCACCCCTCTTCAGTAGCTTGCCCCTGCTATAGTGCTTACATATGAAGGTCTTCGAGCCGCGAGCATCGCGCAGCATCCGATGCTGGATCGGCTCCTGGCGCATGCTGCAGTCCGTTATGCGCTGAGTGTGAGCGGTGGCCGCCTCAAGGTCGCGGCGCACTCTGATCGCCTTGCTCGTGAGATCGACAAAGATGTAGTCCAGCTCGTGGGAGGTGCGGCCCTCCACCTTCAACTTGCCGCAACTGTCCAGGCTGAACGAGGACAACGACGTGTTCGATGATCGGACCAGGCTGATTGCCGACAATGAGGTGTTCTCTCCCATCATCGCATCGGGCCGCAGCGGCAAGGTGGAACTCTTTTTGCGGTCCGGCTCATTGTACTTCTGATCCAAACGCTGCACAATGTTGACGCAAGTGCGCAGATCGCTCTGTATCAGCTGACAGAGTTCCAGCGCCCGATCAAGTTCTCGATCTTCGGTTTGGATCATTCTATGTGAATGTTTTGTGTGTATTTTGTTCTGTTTCTTAGACGTGTATCACACGAAACAATTTCGAATGTCGTTTAAAAATAATTTCAAGGTGAACTATGTGAATTTATTTCAGTAACTAAACTAATCTATCTCCAAATACGGCCTCAACTGACAGCAAATACTGCCTCAACTGAATACTTTTCTCTCAAATAGTCTTGCTCAAGCAAAATACATTTCAAGTGAAATCAAATATGAATTTCAATTTGCCTTCTCTCTGTGCCTAACTTTTCAGTTACAGTTCGATAAACTGATATATCGCAGGGCAGACATTTGTTTAAAAGGATCCTATATAAAAGAATGCAAAATAATATACATAGTTGGCTAAAATATTTAAGGAGAAAACCTTGCAAATATATCTCGCTTCTATCTAGCTCTCTCTCTCTCTTGTCTGCCCACATTTATCTCTGAGAATTATACAAATGAAATAAAAAATCTGCCAACCTGAAATTTGTAAAGCTCAGAGCGGCGATTACTGTGCAGGAAGGCGAGGCCCAAACGCTGCGGACGGCTACTGTAATGGATACCTGACTGGGGAACTGACTCTGCGACTGTCTGCTGGCAACCCTAGGGAGTCGGAGAGGGCGAGGGATAGAGCGGGGGCTAAAGCGAGGGCGACCTCAAATAGAAAAACAATTTAAACAACGCAAACATCGCACCATAAGGGAAAGCACAAAAATTAAATTGCCAACGAAACGTTAAAAATGAAAAGCAATTCCAAAACACAAAAAAATCTTTCCAAGCCAAAAATGAAACAAAACAACTCTATAGCCGGGAGGGTCCGATTTATTAGGTATATACACAAAAGGTATAGGTACAAACAAATTGAAGTCTGTGTGTCTATATATTTCTTTGAGCGGGTGCTTCAAGAGAAGCACGATTGACCACAAAACCAAATGAAAAGAGAAAACCAACAAAGAAACAAATTACTAAGAGACAAAACAAAAATCTAGTTTTTATTTAAAAAATTAGATTAGCCCAGCATCTTTCTAATGGGTTCTATCTATTCTTAAATCCGAATCGTATCAACCTGATCTCAAGAGCCATCCCCAAATATTTGAATATAATATTATCAACAACATAGATAGACAATTGATAGATAAAACTCCAGGTGTAAATTTAACAGGCGATAAAAGTTCTTACCGAGCTTATTCGTTGCTCGGTCGCCTCGCAGTCCTTGCGATTATCTCGATTACGCAACGCGGCGTATGCGTAATCCGCGTGCAAGCGAAGTTAAGCCAAGCGTGGTGTAAGCCACAGCACATGTACGTGTTCTGCTCAGGCAAAGGTGATATCAAGCATGCCTCAGAGCGCAAGGCACTTGATTAGCGAAAAAGGGCGCGAGGCGATGCGATGCGCCGCGTTGCGGCTGTCGCTGATGTCGCCTTTGCGTTGACACCTGTTCGTGGTGTTGCAGGTGCAGCTGATAGTTGTTTAGTTTGTTGGCTGACTTAAAGTTCTCAAGAAGCTGTGCTGACAATCCGTGCGACTTTTGACTACTGAACATAGTTCGCACACAGCCAATCGAGTAATGAGCAAAGTTTAAGCCAACAGCAGAGAATGCTTCCCATGCTTCCGATTTATTGGCATCTGCAGAAATTTTTCAATTAATTCCATTGGCTGGTCAATATTAAAACAAAATTTATTGCTCAGCAAATTTAATAAAAGTGTCTTCCAGCCAACTGAAAAAATTCATAAAATGATTTAATATTTTTCTCCTCTGTTGCCGGGCAAAGCTGCCCAAAGGCTGAACAAAGACTGACTTGATTAACAAAAGAATAAAAACAAATTGAAATTACGTTTTCTTCAATTTCATTTTACACTTAACTCACTTAAATTCTGTTTGTACATGAGATAGTTAATATTGCATTAAATTTCTTCTTGTTTATTTAGACTATCAAATTAAATGGATGCCAATAAGACTTAAATGAATAGTTACAATTAAAGCTTCCACTTGCAGTTGCTGGCATAATTTTGCTTGAAATGAATCTCGGTACGAAATTCATTGAAAATATAACTGCAAAACTAATTTCCAGGCTTAAAACTATCGATTTAATGGCCCATCAATTGACAGTATCTACTTAAGCCGTGACTAAGCGAATCGAAGTCAAAAGATTTTAAGCCGATTTGGGCTGAAAGGACTGCTCAATGGCGGCATTGTCAGTGCATTATCGGCTTAGCATATGCATGAGTGCAGACACGCACACCCACACACCCACAGAGAAATGCAGACACAGGCAGCAGGCAAAATCAGCTGCAGTCAAATATCGCATGCAGCTTCTGCAGTTGTTATCTGCAATAGGTAACTACACAGAGGGCTTACTTATTGCCCAGCGACTTCCATTTCTCTTTATCCAATAAATATTTCGTCAGGTCAGATATAGGAGACAGTGGGGAAGCACTTGTTATTTATTAGCCGAATATTTCCTTTTCCCATGAAACAAATATAGAAAATCAATGAATTTCATATGCCATCATCCTATTAAATTTAAGGCAACTCATCTTCAACAATCTTTCTGTGCACTTAGACCTTCCTCGAATTTATATTTTTATTCCTATATTTCATGACCAGCTCAGAAACTTTGTTTATGAAATTTAAAACGAAAATCAATTTGAATAAATTGTTACTACACCTTCAGCATACACATTAACTGTCCACAATTTATTTACAATAAATATTACGCATACGGCACATAATCCCGTCAATCAACAGCAGGCCAATGCTGAGGCCACAAATTTGACAGCTTACAGTTCTGTTTTTCAGGCTGTGCACATATTTACACTTAATTTGGTATACACTATACACCGATGAAAAAAGTATTGATTGATTGGCATACATAATCCAGTTAACTAAGGTATCCATTGCAGTCGGCCAGGCACTTCATTGGATTTGGTGCTTGAAATATTTGTGCTGTTGAACTGTGATTTATGGCGCTCTAGGCAAAGTAACCAAGCGAAGCTGGCTTCCCTCAGATTTGTGAGTTTTTCATTATGCGACAACAATTCTGCTCAGCTTAATCAGCAGGAGTCGGGCCTGCGTGCTTGCCAGCTTGCCTTCCTGCTGGCATAATTGATGAGGATTTGGGTCAATGTAAAAAAGTAACAATGTTTTTTGGTCTAAACTTGTGTTGTTATTGGGGTTGCAAAAAATTCATTGCATAATTTAAGCATTCCCAAAAATTTAAATAATATTCAAGTTGATTTTAACATTTTTTGAATGAGTCTCTGAAATTATTATAAAATAGTCATCAAAATATTGGTGAAATTAAGTTTGCTTCGCATTTTTATATAATTGGTAATTGAACAACACAAACAGATCTCCGACAGTTAAAAAGAATGGAGTCAAATATTAGTTTAGCTTGAGTACAAATTTTTTTTAAGCTTAACATTAAATGGTAGAGAATTTGGGTAATTGAAAACGCATTTTAAAATCTACTCTAATAAGGTTTAAGGGAATTAAACTGTCAATTATAATGCGCTCACTCACACACTTGTATAATATCGATTATACTCTACCCCCGGTAAATAATTAAATGCTCTTGCGGTTTTCATGCTTCGAATTGCTGCGGCTGGAGTAATTTTAATGTGGACTTATTAAACAGAAAGATTTCAATAAAAATATAACTTAAACAATGAATAGACTGCTTTAAGTAAACGGGGTCTGGGCCTACGCCCCGACCACCTGTCTACTGCTAGTCAGTCGAATCCTCATTTGACTCGAATGGGCTTTCCTCATCGGGAACGCCTTGAGCCATTCCATCTATGAATTCGATCATGCGCTCCTCGACTGCATCTTTGGCTATTTCGTTACCCGAATCTACAAAATCCGAAAGGTCGGTGGTCAATGCATTGTCCACAGCCAGCTTCATTTCCTGCAGCTCAAAGTTCAGCTGGCGAATGCACAGCAAACTGGATCGGGCTCGCACCAAGGCCTGGGAGATGCGATCCTTCAAGTTCATCTGCTCGATGCGCATATTAACCGAGTTCTCTCTGAGGCAGTCCAGTATCATCAAACGGCTCTCGATATCGTACAAGTCCATTATTCAATTTCCAAATAACTGATTTTATAAATACCAACGAGACTAATATTTTTATGTATTTATATATATATTTATATATTAATGTGTCATGAATTTGTTCTAGACGCCTGCTTGTAAAGCCCACCCAACACATCAGTTGATTGATGACGATTGCCTAATATGTTTATTTGATTAAGCCGATTATGGCTGACTGGCTAATCTGGTTACTCGCTTGGCCCAGACAACAAATCAATGTCATAATAAACTCGAAATTATGATTCTCATAATACTCATTATGCATAATTTAAGTTCCTGGCAATTAAAGTATTAAAAGCTTGCCTCTTGCTTCTTGCTTCTTGCTGCCTGCTTCCTGCTTCCTGCTTCCTGCCACCCTCTGTGGGCTGGCATCTCGGCCTTTGTGGGCTTTCGTAGCTGCTGTGGTGTGTGTGCTGTGTGCTGCATAATTGATTATCCTATGGGCAAAATGTGTCCTTGGCCCCACTCGATTTCTCTTTCGCCTTGGCCAGCAAAATAAATGCTGTTTAACTTATTGTTGATCTAAATGGCGCTGACAAAGTTTGCAGGATTATATTTTTTCGTGAATCTCTCAAGCACAAACATTAAAATTTCTTTGCAAGTTTCTCACTTTTCCTTAATTTGTTTTGTTAATTGGTCAAAGCACTTGATTTCGGTCCGGCGCATTAACTCCGAGGCTATCTTGCCACAGCATCTACTGTCGACTGTCGTCTGACCCCTATCCACTGTCCCCTGTCCGGGGACTAATTGGATTAATTGGCATGCTGCGGGTTTGCCTTGAGGCGGTGTGAAATTCTAAATTTTCTTTTGTCTTCGTCTTGACGAAGGTTACGACAGTTTAATCCAGAGTTTGGCTTAAAAGTGGATTCGGGCAGAGGTCGATTTTCAATGAAAACTACTTGAAAATGTGTACAGTAAAATGAACTGTTAAAACAAATAAATACTTTACATATAGGTTTCCAATGCAATAAATTTGCTCGATTTAGCCAGCTTTTCTGATTAGAATATACAAATTGAACGCAAATCTTCTGAGTATTATGATTAGAGCGATATACGGCCGAATTCAGATTGTCCAAATTGGAATTCATGTTTTGATTATGCATAGAAGATTTTCGGCTGAGCGCCAACTCGTTAAATCGCCAATATTTAGCGATTTGATCAATTTGTCCGCACAAAATGCCAATTCATTCAACTAATATTACGTATACGCAGCGGACGTTAATGAAATATTAAGCCAGGCGCCAACAACTAAAACAAAACAAACTTTAATCCGAGTCATCAAACCCCCAACGCACTCAAAGCCAAACAATTTGTCGTCAATTTAGCTACAGACACACACACACACACACACACACACACACACACGCACACACACAGACTGGCACTCTGCTGTCGTGCTTTACAGTTAAGTGCCGAGGCAGCTAGCGACACCTGTTGCCTGCGAACAGAAACTTCCACTCAATGAGACGCACTCACTCGCTACGATGGCGCCGCTCTTCGCTCATTTGTTGTGCTCTGCTCTTTCGCCGGCAACAACATTCGTGCTCGTTTGTGATTTGGCGGCATCCGACAATCCGGTTTTTTCTCACTCTATGCTCTGCGCTGCGCTTCTCACTCAGCGTTGGAGAACTGACGTTTCCAGATGTGGCTTTGGCACGCTTTGGACTCAGTTTTCAATTCAGTTGTCGCTTGTTAGTCGCCACGTGCGGTTCGGCTGCTAAGTTCTGCTCCGGCTCTGGCGCCCTCTTTCTGTCTTTTCCTCAGTCGCGCGCGTGTGACCAAATAGTGCGCAACTTTCTCGCGCGTCTGTGTAGGTGTGTGTGTCCCCACGTTGAGGCTGTGTGAGTGTCATTCGCGTGCTTTAATATACAAATACACCGACAAGTGCCACAGATGTGTAGACAAACAGGCGGACAGTCGCGCGGCCAGGCGGACGGACATTCATTTCCATTGCGTTGACGTTTGCAATTTAGCGCAATCTATATGAATTCTGATTCTGATTTTTTACGTTTTTTTTATCATTTTTTCCCCGCATATTCATCATTAATGTGTTTTTCACAGTACTATCTCTGTCTGTCTGGTTGTTTGCTTGGTTGCAACAAATTCAAAACTGTAATCAAATGTCAAGTTTCATTCACAACTTTAATTTTCTTGTCGTGCATTTGCTTCGCCAAAATCATTTTTTATTTGCTTATTCCGACGCCAACGCCGACGCCGCCTCCGATTTGTCTGTGACCACAAAACTTGGCTCGCTTGATTTTATTTGGCTGCTTCACTGGTGAAATTATGTTTATAAAACTAAAAGAATAACAATGTCCAAAATAATGTTGCAATGCGAGGAAAGTTACTCTGTTCTTTCCCAAAGAGAGTTTACCAAACTTGGCTGCATGCCGAACTGACAAAATGATGCATTAAACTAATTGCAAACATTGTGCGTTGCGTGATTTTCATATGAGCAAGTCAGTAAATGTATTTCCCGTAAATTTGATAAATACTAAAATAAAATTGTATTAAAACAAAAAATGCAAATGAGAACATAATTCTGAGAAAAAAGTAATTAATGCGGTAAATATGGGAGTATTTTAATAACAAAACCAAAAGTGAATTGACATTTTTTTAATACAATAATAATTGAATATATAATAAATTGCAATGTGGCATAATAATATTTTATATCTAATAACAATTTCATAATATAAATAATATGTAAATGTTATAATGAAAGACTGATCAGTCTACTGGGTATTTTCTTTTCCAGAAAGCAAACATTATAATTGCTAGATAAATATTTAATTAAGTTCAAAATACAATTGCAACAAATTGTCTGAGTTTAACCCGAGTGCACAAATGTTTAAAGCAAATAGCAAATCCGATAAGAAAACGTGCTTAGAGACTATTCAAAAGTAGATCATATATTTTTACGTATACTCCATGTATACATAAATTTATTCACAGGCCGCTTCAGCAGTCGCACAGCAGACAGCTGTAAAAATCATACATATATGCCATTCTGAGTGTTCTACATTTGTGTATATTATATTTACGCATTTATTAATATCGATGTTTGTTTCCAACAGATATATACATATATATTTTGATGCTCATTCACAAACACCAAATGAGTATATTGGTAATCCTGTTGTCCGCCCGTTTGTCTGTATTAACGCAGACCATTTCAATGCTGTCAAAGCTTGAGTCTTGAAGTTCAATTCTTTTCACAATTCAACCAATAGACGCGTGGCACAGCGGAAAGTGCATTTTATAGTATATCAAAAAGCATGGTAATTTAAATGCTAAATAGTTGAAATAAAAGCCAAAAGCATGACGAATCAGGTGTTGTATACAGTTTTCAGCTAAAAACTTGAAAGTTAGCAAATTATATAAGCACCAATTGAGGGCGTGTCAAATAGGAATACTTATCTGGCAGTGTTCGGGCTGTGAATAAGTATTCTGCAGTCGGTAATGCCTGTATTTGACTTGCTATATATGTGTATGCGCTTTTGTCTCTATTCAGACAAATTTCGTGTGGAAAACGCTGCGTATGAGTAATTTCTAACGCTTTGACGATTGTTGCAAGTTCGAAACAAAAAATTGTATTCTATTTTTAATATGAATGGTATTATATTTTAATACTTATTTAAGTACCAATTTCACGCTGGCAATGCATAAATCTAATCGCGAGTTGTTTATCTGGAGCTCAAATCTTCTGATGACATTTCATGTACAAAATGTCATTGGAGCCTATTCGAACTAATCTCAATTTATTTGAAACATTTGTAAAGCACACACAAAAACTAAGCTTTACTTATAGATAATAAACCCCGAAGTGCCCCTACTTGGAAGTACCCAACAATTAAAAATGTGTAATACACAAATATATAAAAAAATATATTGACTGTCATGACAATGAGATCATTATTGTAGGGTTGAGAAACAAAACTAAAGCGATATCGTTACATTTACGCTTAGAAATCATTCGGGATTCCCAAAGCAAGACGTAGACTTTGCCTCTTTAGCTACGGTCATCGGCTCTGACATTCCTATGTAGTATTTTCCATACATACAAATGAATTTATTACTCTTACAAATGCAATAAGCTGCATTCGGTATGGTTTTTGTTCTCCTAAATTTAAAAATGTACAATTTATATATCCCAGTCGAATAGGTAATACTTAAAGTAAAATTACTTTGTAGGCGGGACTTACTCTTACAGCTTGCAGTCCCTAATTAACAAGCTTGATTCTAAACTACAACAGACATTATCAATGATATTGCTCACTCAGCTATTCAAGTGCTATATATACGTATGCATATACGAGTACAAAAACTGTGTTGTTATCATAACGAAACATCTTATTTGAACGGAAAAATTTAATAATTAAATAATATTACGATTGTAAAACATGACTTTTTACCAATCGCATTTAAATCAGCAATTATGCATTAATTTAATGTCTGAGCGTGTTCAATTCAAACTAATTAAATTTTAGATGAATTTACAATTATAGTTATTGTGAAGTATATTATATTTGAATAGAAAAGGTAATTTACTGACCTATACCAGCTGAATAGCAGTGAAAATTTAATTAAATTATACGTTACATCAAAGGTGAAATATCATATGTAAAAGGCTTCTTTCTTAGACCCATATTGTTGTGCCTTATATCGCGTAAGTCAAGATCTGTAAATTTGTCATAACTCTCTTCGAAAACAAATGTATTTAAAAATGGAACCTCAGCCAGATAAAATCGTTTATTAAATACTCTTAATTGTGCGGGAATTTATGCTAAGCAAACGATGCTATACATGAATGAAAATCTGCCACAAAATGCGCTAAGATGAGACATATGTATCTACATATTGTATATATGTATATACTGTGTCTGGATCTTGTAGCATTTACGTCTATTTACAACTAAAAGTCTCGCTATTTGCCAACCATTGGCTGGCCATATTCAATACAAGTTATTTGTTGTATGGCACGTAAATCAGATAAAGCAACAACATAAAC